TTTTTGTCATCTGTTTCCTGCTAGCTAACAACTGCCCTTAATAATCAGCTTCAACGATTATGTTTAAATGACCTCAAAATGTTCAACAGAAAGAGAAACCGTCTTTATATTCAAGTGTCTTTGTATTTAGAATAATGTGATTCTAATAGTTACAGTTAATATAATTTAAATCATCGTTGGTAGTTAATGATCAGTCATTTCTGTTTCTCCCCCTGAAGGTTTACTGTGACATGGAGACGAGTGGTGGAGGCTGGACAGTCTTCCAGAGACGGTTTAATGGCAGCGTGGACTTCCAGAGGAGCTGGAGGGAGTACAAAATGGTGCGTTTGTGTCACAGTCACCAGGATTTATCTCAGAGTTTGAGTTATCAGTGTAAAGAGTGCTCCTCTTATGATTCTCCCTGCAGGGTTTTGGGGACGTGTTGGGCGAGCACTGGATGGGTAATGAAGTTTTGCACCTGCTGACCAATCAAGGTGTCTACTCTATGAGGGTGGAGATGATGGACTGGGAGGGAAACTCCGCCCACTCCCACTATGACCGATTTACACTGACCAGTGAGCGACAGCAGTACAGGTACAACCGCAGTCCAAACACACACACAGACAGTGTTTTACTTTAATGTTTTTAGAGTTTATTTTTACTATAATAATGAAAATTAAAAGCTGCTGATTACATCTGAAGGCGTGTATAACATTCAAACTTGAACAGACTAATATTGATTGTTTTGGAAATACTGCTGTGTTGTAACTCTGCGATTTATTTTCCTGCTATTAATTATAATTAAATTGTTAATGACATGGTGAGACCACAGATTCATAAGCCCCAAAAATGATGTCCTGAAATTGTTGATTTTGTCAGCTGAGGAAATGAGATGCTGCATTATTCAGAGTGTCTGTGGGGAAAAAAACACTTTATAATTTATTAGTTGTGAAAATTGCTGTTAATTTGATGAAAACTGATAACACTGCAGCTCAGCTTGGGGAACTGTTTTTGGCACGTTTCAGTGAGTGGATGCACTCGTCTGTGATTGTGTTGAGCAACAGAAAGATTTTCACACAGCTTTATAAAAACACCTTATGGAATTCCATTAATTCCATAAAGCCGGTCCCATGGGTGGTCAGAATTCAGTGAATTCCATGAAGGACCAACACACTTGGTCCTGCCAAAAACAGAGTCACCAGATGGTGATCCGCTGGATTAACTGCCTCATAGATGTACTGTAAATACGTCCTGTCTACAAGAAAATATTAAATCAGTGTTTGTTTCATCAGATCTTGTCCTCCTGTGTGTCTCCTCTCCCTCAGGTTGTATCTGAGAGGTTACAGTGGCACAGCAGGGAAGCAGAGCAGCCTGACCACCCACGGGTCCGGCTTCAGCACCCGAGACAAAGACAACGACAACTGTGAACACTGCAAATGTGCCATGATGCTCACTGGAGGTGGAAGCTTTTCTGTTTGCCAGCAGTTTAAAGCAAACAAATGAAATAAACGAGATTATGTATTGGAAATACTCCATAAAGTTGAGATATTAAGATATTTTTGAGAAAATAGAAACACTGCATGCATTACAGGGACAAAAGTTCTGGGTCCTCCCACCTACAGGAGCTGCTTGGCCATAAACGTGGGGCCTTTTGCGCACTCTGTGACCCCGCTCTGAAACTTTACATGCTCTCACACTTCATGGCTGAGTTCCTGTGGTTCGTAAACATTTCCACTTAACAACACAACTTACAGCCGGTCATGGAAGACCTAGGAGGACCGTGGAGCCATGTTTGAAACCATGGAGCATGTTTCAGTGAGCTCTTTAGAACAAGCCCGTCTTTCACAAATGTCTGTAAAGGCATAGATAGGTACATGATTTTATACACCTTTAGCATGTGGGCTAAAAACACCTGAATTAAAAAATAATAAGGTTCAGTTCAAATTTATTTATAAAGCACAAAATCACCGCAACAATCACCTCAGCGTTCTTGGATGTAGTCTGTGTGTTGCAAAGACACAATTTCACTTAAAACCATGAAGACCATGAAACAACTGGATACATTTATTGAAAGTTTACTACTGACATAACAAATAAAACACACATGATGATTCACAAATACATTGTTAGCAGTGTTTCCCCCCAAAGTTCTGCTCTTTCAAACATCTGTCCCCATCATCTTTCACTGCACCACCCTTCATCTCACGCCAACGCCAAGACAAACAGCTCTTTAGACTCCCCTCGATTGGCTGTGAATTAACTTAATCGTTTCGGCAAAACGTTAAGTCCTTTGAGAAAAAGACGCCAGTGGTCACCATTAGACAGTGAGTCATTTAAAATCACAGCAATTTACTGAGTGAAAGAGAAACGGTGACACAGACGAAATAAGAAACCGAGGGGAGTAACAGTAAGGAGAGAGATGAAGAACAGACAAACATGTACAGCTACAGTTTTCTCTCACAGAGAAATTACAGTCAGACTATGAAAATGACCCCCAAATATGGAAATGATATAAACTTTCTAAAAGAAAAAAAACATCTTGAGATCAGGAATTAAAGTATTATTTTCGGACACGTGTCACTTATTTACAAAACTGAGAAACAGATCCCAGTGGGTCCCCTGCTGACATTTTATTGCTTTTATAGTCACTGTTAAAAAAGTTTTATGTTTGTCAAACATTTCTAATTGTGTGCAGGCTTAGAACAAACATAATTATAAATCTAAATGGAGCTTAAACAGAAATGTGTCCTGTTCTGTGTCCTGTACTGAGGAAACTCTACAGATATGAGTCTTGTGTGATTATTTCAGAATGACATTCTCAGTACTAAACAAATATCAGAGAGGACATGCCACTCACTCAAAAAGCACTAGCTGTATATCAAAGACGGCAGCCACAGTGACATCACACACTGGTTTCTAGACTCTTTAAAACTTTGACCAAAATCAATGCAGGGAACTGTTCTACTTTCTATTCTTCCCTTTCAATAGAAATTAAGTGCAAATTGGCTTTAGGGCAGCAGAGGGCGCCTGTGAGTCAGTGACACTGACTCAAGTGGCACTTCAGTATTGTGGTGAACATTTATGTGTGTGAACATATTTATTGGCAAGCTCAGTTAGCAAGCTGCTTTCAAAAACGTTATGGGTGCATCACAAAAATACAGATATCTGCTAATATCTGCTCAGGGGATTGGGAAGCTCATCTGTAACCGGAAGGTTGCCAGTTCGATCCCCCTGCTGTCTCTGTCCTGGTCGTTGTGTCCTTGAGCAAGACACTTTACCCTACTGCTTACTGGTGTTGGCCAGAGGGGTCGGTGGTGCGATATGGCAGCCTCGCTTCTGTCAGTCTGCCCCAGGGCAGCTATGGCTACAACCGTAGCTGCTTCCACCAGTGTGTGAATGTGAGAGTGAATGAATAGTGGGATTGTAAAGCGCTTTGGGTGCCTAGAGAAGCACTATATAAATGCACTCCATTAATAAGTGCTAAAAAACAAAGAAACAAACAAAGCTCAAACTTCTTTAACCATCTATTAGTGCAGCTAACTGCACAACAAGACACAAACTAACAAGCAGCAAACTAGCAGAGTTGCGACAACCAGCACACCTGTCAATCAAAGAAACTGACATTTGAAAACATGGGTTACATATTTATGGTAACTCGTCACAAACGTGCTCTGTAATGCTATAAAGAATTAATGAGCACTTTTGGAGCGTAGGTCCGGGGACCCAATCACAGTGGATGAGACGCCGTTCTTTACCTGTTGGTAGATTTTCACAGATCATTTCTGTTTTTCAAAGCAGAACTTTTCTTGTTTTTATGCTCATGTTGTTTTAATATTTGCAGCCTGCATCTTTGTCTTTATGGTAGTCAATGCATGTAGTCGATAGACGCTTTGAAACTCACCCCACGTGATGCCACTGTGCCAATCAAATGCTTTATTCAGAAAACTCAAAGGAGGAGACGAGACGTGAGACGAGGGATTTAAACGTGACTTGGTTCACACACGAGAGGTAGTTAAGGAAAAATAAGAAAAGGGAAAATCAAACTACATTTTTTCATTATTTTAAGTTGAGCACTTTTTTGAAAACAACTTTTTAAAAAGAATTTTCATTATTTTTGAATACAAACCTTATTTTACTTGAAACTATTAAAGACCCACAGTTCATTATAAAAATATTAGTAAACATTGTTGAAATAATGTTGAGTTGTTTTCTCTAATTGGACCTAAATAAAAACATCTGGCAGGTTCACATTAGCTGTCACTCCTCCATTCAAAATATGCTTCAAGTGCTCCTAAAGTAAAATTGTACCACTGCAGTCTGCTTGTTTTATTACTGCATTAGTGTTATTAGTTGGCTTTTGTTTCTCACTCCCTCTTGCCTCCATCAGGTTGGTGGTTTGATGCCTGCGGTTTCTCCAACCTAAATGGTGTGTACTACTCCATCGGCCATAACATCAGGAAGCTTAACGGCATCAAGTGGCACCACTTCAAAGGTCCCAGCTACTCCCTGCGCGCCACCTCCATGATGGTACGACCCTACGACTTTTAAAGGCACCTTTCACCCTCCACAATGGTTTGATCCAACGGAGCTTAAATACCACAGCGGTATCGACCTTCAACTCCTCCGAAATACCATCCTAATGATAGCAAAGCTTCAAAACAATGGCTCCTACCTTCACCGCCATCATGGTACAACCCTAAAACACCTCTTGGATATGATATGGTACAGCCCTGAACTGAGGAAATAGTGACTTTAAAACAATAATGGTTAAAGTCATGTGACTCGTGAGGACCTTGTTTGTTACATGTCTCCTGGACTTGTTTTCATAACCAAGGATCATATTGAGGAAAATAAGGGATGGATCATGTAAGAAAATATCTCGTCTGCTTGAAATGTGATTGTCCTTTAAATATGATGATAACGACACACATTTTCAGCCAGTCTGTGCTGGAAGCTATTAAAATGGTTGTGCTGGTTTGTACACATGAGAAGTGCCAAAAGTGTTCACCCACACAGCCAGCCAGTCGCTGTGAGACGTGGGTTGGATTGTTGCTTTTGGGTTGGAAAAGGTACACTCTGTGGTACTCAGTCACTCCACCCCGGCTGGTACAGAAAGGGTGACTGAGGGGTTTCCAGAGCTGGAGCATACTGGCAGCTTCACGGTACTTTCCTATATGACATTTGAGAATGTGTTTAATGGTAAAAGGCATGAATGTGGACCCTCATAGCTCACCTGGTAGAACAGGCATCGTTTTTACTGAAGGATGAGTTTGCTACTGTAGCCTGGGCTGCCCCCATTAAACTGTCACTGTCTAATAAAGACTGTAAATAGGAATAAATAATATTATCCACAAATCTGAATTGAAATCTGTGGCTAGCATGAAGGTATTCACCTACTTTTTTAGGAGGGAATACGAGATTTTCTTTGTTGTTATCAGTGTGTTTATAGTGCCACTATCTATGACCGGCACCGAAACACAGACAAGATTTAGATAGCTGATGTCCGTGTCTATGGGCGGTGCTACGGCCTCTGGCTGCCATATCACCTTCCCATGGACCCAACGTCTGCTTCTCAGATCTGTCGAGATGAGGACAGTCTGCACCAGCACAACAATGGAAAAGAGGTTTGAGTGATTGGCTGGCTTTTGGTCTTTGGTGAGCAATTGCATTACATGTGCCATGTGGAAGCACTGCAACATGTTAATCAACAAACCAGATATTTCAGACAGTGATTGTTTGTTAACAGATATCAAAAGACTGGAGAGACTGCAGATTTCTGAAAATGTACTTTCCAGATGGTACACAGGGCAGCAAATTATACAAACCCATCATTTTTGTAGTGTGATTGTGAAACCTCAGCGCTAGTGTTTTGGTCCCTGCCATATTGGGCTCTTGCAGCCAGAAGTGGCCATACTTGGATAAAAGGGTGGCGTTCTGAGTTACCAATTCCTGGAAATCTTGGTGAGGAGCTTCATCTCTCAAACAGATCCCTGCAAATTGCTAACACACTATTCAAATACTAGAATTTCACTCATCAAAACTGGAGCGCAAACTTTTTGGACAGCCTGCACCACACAGCACGCCAGGCTATTAGTCAGATAATTGTCAGATCAAAACTGCTCCAACAGGGAGCAGGATGGCAAACATGATGCAGCGACTCTGAGCAGCAGCTCTATGACAGCTCGCAGCCACAGCAGCCTGCAAGCCTCCAAATACTGAAAAGGTGAGTTAGCAAAAAATCTTTACAACCTTGTTTTTGTTGTAAGGACTGAATGACCTCTATGAGTTTGTCCTGTGATTTCTGTTGCTGCGAGTCTTTCTACAGAAAACGTCTATGTTGAAGAAAACGTTAATATAAGGCGAGAAAACAGTGAGGATATTGGAGTTTATTACACGGACAGCTTAATACTGAGAGATTTGTGACTGAGCAAAGAGTGGAGTTGGCTTTCACAACCCACTTTTACTTGGACTGTTTTTAAAGGAAGCCAGCGTTTCCACATGTTTATCAACAATTTTATAAACGTGGACGCTAAAGCTGGTGTGACTGCCAGAACATGAATCAGATCAAACTGATGAAACCTGAGAGTCACGTTGAGGATTGATCTGATTAGCTGGAACAACATCAGGAGCCACAGCGGATGATGTCCAGCAGGAGAAGGTGATTTTCTTCCCGCTCGCCTCCTTTGGGCGGTGGTGGACGGTCCATCCTGGGTCCTCGTGTGAGCCTGGACGTAATTGTGGGACGTCTTAGATGCCGAATCAGCACATCTCAGATTCTACTTACCGTGCACAGTGTTGATTGAAGCTTGTGCATCATAAATGGAGAATCATGCAGAGGCAC